TATATATATATATCCCCCTATCTTTGTTTTAAATATATAGGATTATGTATTTGGACACCGGGGCTGTCCAGATGTTGAACTGTGCAGTGAAATTTGAAAAAACCTGCTGGAAATATGAAGTCACAACTGGATGCACTAATTTTGGCCTATAAGGACAAGATTAAAAAAATAGGGCTGGTTACCTAATAGCCTTGCGGCGAGCTTTCAAAGCTTCATAAAACAGAAATGATGGAAAATCAGTTCTGTGAAAATAACATGAAAATTAAACACACGGAGACAAGGGAAAAGGTGTTAAGAGTTTTCTGGAAGAATTGTTTATCCAATTAATTTTGCTGAACATAATGACAAAACCCGTTTACACATACGAGAACTATCTGGCACAAGATCTCTAAATAAATTACCTGTTGGCATCACAAATACACCTTATAGCTGTCTCAGGGAGCAGTAGCAGACTATGCTGTATTCAAGGACTGCCTGATTTTGTTTTTATGCTACTGTTGATGCCCATGGCACTGCAGGACATTGGAGGGTATTTTGAAGCAATGGCTTTTCTGCGAATTTGGATAACAGTGAAGCAACAGGGCATTCCTGACCCATGCCCCTAACAGAAGTAAAACCCAGCTTAAAAAGATTAGCAATAACAATTGTTATTTTCTTCTCTTTGGTAGCTGTAGTTGGCTGTTTTATTCACTGCGTATCATTACAGACTGTTAATGAATTAAAGATGCTTATTTGGAGTGTTAACAAACGTTCCGACAAATAGCTCCATGATAGCTTAGCAGTACTGAATCGGTCTGCCATTTCATGGCTTAGATTTTAAAGTTCACGATTGCTATCTTGTGTCAGTTGATTCAGAAAACAAGGTAGGTGGGAAGAGATGCTAATATATATAAACTATTTTTAGAGCATTGCAACTAAAATGATAGCAGGCTGGGATAAGCTCTACCCAAGGAGCACTCTTGCGCTCCAGATCGTTTTGTGCTTCCAGAATAAACCTCGGAGGATTTAGTTAATTAGGGTGCTGGAAGTGTGCTGGTGTGGAATAGGGTTTCTTTGCTTTCAGTAACTGCCCCCTATCTTTGTTATTTTGAAATGAAAATATACAGACTGTCAGTCATCTGTAATGAGGGTAAAGCTCATCTAGTCTTTATTTAAAGAATAAATAAACGTAAAGCTATTAACAAGGAAGTTGTCAACTGTGCAAGTGCAGTGCCATTTTATTTTCTAAATATTTTCATTACGGTTTCCTGCAATAATACAGATTCATAGCCTTGTATTATGGAATGTTGCAGTGTATTACAAGGGACCTCATTATATGACTGTTTGGTATAGAGGTCATTACTGAGACAATATGTAAATACAAATTAAAATGCTGACTTATAATAATTTCCTAAGTGTTTGTTTGTGACAATGTAATAGCAAAAAGGAAGCTGTTTACATTTATCAAGGAAACAAAACGTGTTTAAAAATTCTCTGAATCCATCTTGACATGATTATATACAGTCCTTATGGTTGACAGTGCTGCTTCGAGCCATACAGCCATTATGATTTCAATTAAACTTCAAAAATACGTCCTACAGTAGTGTTGAATCTCAAAAGAACGGACATTCAGGAATGGTATTTAGTCTTAATTGTCCCCATCGTAGGCCAGGGCATTCTGAGGTTCCCTCAAACAGTTCCCCTCATTTTCCCCTCTGTATGTTTAAGAGGATGCAAGGCTACTCGCCAGCGCTTACACCTATTGACTATGTCTCAGTCTCTAGGTACACACATGTACTTTGAGCCTCTTCTGTGTTCTCCTTTGGGAAGCCCAAACTTAAAAAAAATGTAGTCGGTCTTCAAAAAGTAGAGCCACTGGATTAAAAATATTGAGTTTAGAAATATTATTTTTCACCTTTGGTGTTTAAGTTCTAGGATATACTTTTTCTGTGACCCTAAGGGGGAAACATTTACACCAGTCCTTTTGATGGAAGATGAGATTCTCCTGAAATCCTTTTAAGACTTGAGAACTTGACAAAGTAAAGGCAGCTTTAAGAAACCACCGGTTATCGCAAGATTTTCAATAAAATTACAAGAATTGACAACACTGATACATGTCTTGCTCATAAGAATGGGACGGTTGGGTCTTCCATGTTCTGGTGCTAAATGTGTTGCAGCTAAAACACGGTCCTAAATGGGAATATATAAATTATGGCATTCATTTCTTAGCTTTTTTCAGACACTCCAGAGGAGCAGTAAGATTTGGTATGTGCACTGCAGAAAGTTACCCCCCGCCTCAAAGGAGGATTGTGTTTGGCAGATGATGAACAGATGGTTGGGGCATTGAGGATTATACAAGTTGAGGAAAATTTTAAGCGCTTTGTGATTTAGATGGCCCTTTTACCTTATGACTCCACTCTCTGAGCATATCTTGTCTGCGTGAAAATTTTAATTTAACTAACCTAACTACATGTCATGTTTCAGAGACAGAAATGTAAGAACATCCTTTGAACTGTATTGATGGTGTCTACAGTCTGACTGACTAATCAGGAAGCTGCAAGCAAAGCATAAGAGTAATGCTGCTGATGTGCATCTGCTTACTCTCTCTGTAGTGTTTTATTAATTTTTTTTGCAGATTTTAGCCATACGTTATTGCCTGGCAACTGACCTGGAGATGTGCAAATAAAAAAAGCTGGGTTTTTTTTCTTTCTTTTTCAGAGGGCACACAAAGTACAGTGTCGGCTTCTAATGAGATCCAGCAGAACCAGCCGCAAGCCCTTCACTATGCACTCGCTAATGCTCAGCAGGTTCAGATTCACCAAATAGGAGAAGATGGACAAGTTCAAGTAGTATGTACTCATTCTTAATCTCTTCTGTTTAAACAAATTTCTGCTGAAAACTTTGTGCCTTATCTCTGATTCAGCTTTTTCTAAAACTGTTGTTTAGGATTGGCAGAGGCCTGTTATCTTTTCCTAGAAAGAAACCTAAACACTCAGGGCCTGATTTTTCTTTTATAGTTGTCAAAAATGCGCTTGCACAGTTTGCTCACACAACTACTGTAAATGAATGCATGCATATAAGGGTACACACAAATGGCCAGTTAGGCCTCTAGTGAGTCATTTGCCTATGCAATTACCCTGATTATGCATGTAAGCCTAACAAATGTGTTTATATTGGTTTTCTAAAAATCTGCTGCTTCTCAGAATAGTAAACCATCCATTTCTGACTCATGTATCTTCATTCTTTAACATTCCTTTAAATAAAGGTAAAATTTTGACCCAAACCCACAAAAGTCAGGGAATTTGAAAGTTAAGCCTGACATATCTATGATAACTCACGCCATTGTTATTTTTAAAACCTCTTTTTGTACATTTTGAGGAAAATGATCTTGACTTTTGTAGCTTCCTGTCACAGTTTTAATACAAGCATTATTTTGCATTTAATTAAAAAAGATGTCAAGGAATAAAACAAATTTCGGAAAGAAGCTGCAGCATGTAGTGTTGTGATACTTCACTTTCAAAAAGAAGTCACACCAAAATCAAGAGATCCCAATCAAATGCATACTAAGGCATTTAACAAAAATAATATATTTGAGGTCTACCTCACTTGCCTTCTGTTGTTTTAAAAACGGGTTTTCAGTCTCCAGCAAGCCGGAAACTTCTTTTGGTAAATCTCAACATTTTTTCTTCTTCATCATCATCATAATAGTGATCAGGATTACTACTGTTGGATCAGGACCCCCATTGTGCTAGACGCTTTACAAACAGAAGAAAGGAAGGTGATGAGGACAGAGAGCTCTTTCAAGTGTAATGGGAAGCATAGGAGAAAGCACAAGTGTTTTGTTTGAAAATATAACAAGTGAATGATGAAAGCTGGCACCATGGCCTAGACTGAAAATGGGACTCAAATCTCTATATTGAATGAGATGAAAGTAGGGTGAGGATGGGTCCTGAAGGGGTTTGAAACTGAAGACAGTAGCTTGAATTTACTGTTACAGAGAAGGAAGGGGCAGTAGAGACATTGCTGAGACCAGAAACCTGGTCAAAACAGCAGGGTATGCAGATAGTTTTTGTGACTGGAGATGATGGGGCAAATTTGCATTTGCCCTGACCCAAGAAAAGTATGTGGCATGAAATGGTGGGAGATGAGGGGAGCCTGAACAAACGTTTTAGTTGCATGTACATGAAGGAAAGAGCTTTACTGAGAAATACAATGCAGAAAGAATTGGAACTGCTTAGAGAGAGGCTGGGTGCGAGTCTCTAGAGTCAAATATGACATTCAGGTTACAGGCAGGATGGTTAACTTGTCTCTTCCAGTCCAAAATAGTATCTTAATTTGTCCATTTGCCATCTCGTGGCTGTCTAGTGCCAGCTTAACCAAGTTTAAGATAGCTAACAGATCTAAAACTTTCCACTAAATCCCCTTGCTA